TACGAGAAATCGCCAAGAAATGCGAATATCACGATGAAAACGACGCCATCCGAGACCACTTAATAAAAACAATGCGTAATAGAAGAATTCGGGTTAAAGCCATTCGACAAGGCTGGAGTCTTCAAGAAATTCTGGATGAAGCCGCTATTGACGAAGAGACCAACCAGCAAGCGTCCGAAATGGAAAAGAAGATTTCCCACGAAGAAAAAGATGTTAAACGCATCGAAGAAATGCCAACTCAAAAACCATGTGGTCGATGTGGGCGTAAACACACACAGAAATGCCCGGCGATCGGCGCCACTTGCACCGCATGTGGAAAACGAAATCATTACGCAAACGTCTGCAAAAGCAACCCTCAAGAGAAGAAAGGCTTTCGTCCACAGCAAACTCGCTATCCAAAAGATTCTCGAACAAGACGCGATCAGCGAGGACGACGAAATCATCGAAGATCAAACAATCGAAATGGAAAAATCCACCAAGTGTCAGGTCACGAGGAAATCGACCGGAAGTCGGATTCCAGCGACACTTCGAGCGATGATTGTTTCATCCACCACCTAAAGATACACAAAGCCAGCCAAAGCATTCAGAAGACCTGCACCATCCTCATCAACGGCATTGAAACCACAGTCGAGCCAGATACCGGCGCGGACACCAACATAATGGATGAATATCAGTTCCGAAAACTGCAAACAGAAAGACCGGAAATGGCACTTGAAGAATCGAAAATCAAATTAAAAGCACTCACCCATGACCTGCCAATCATGGGAGAATGTACTGTGAAAATCGAAAACCAGACGAGAGAAACAGAAGCAACAATCGTGGTAGTCCAAGGAAAGATTGACTCACTACCTCTACTGGGAAGACCCAGCTTAGATGAACTTGGAATGCTAAAGATCGATGAAACAGGCGGATTAAAAGAACCAAACAAAGCCGTGAAGAAAATCGAAAATGAGAATCCTGAGCTAGAGAAAATCCTAAATCGGTACAAGAATCTTTTGGAAGGTGTTGGCAAGGCAACAAGAGATGGCCAAGAGATACAAATTCATCTACCTATGAAAGAAGACGCCATACCAATCGCCCAGAAACCTAGACGCGTCCCATACCATCTCATTGAACCCCTCCAAGACAGAATTGAAGAGTTTATCAAAAATGACATCATGGAGAAAGTCCCTGACCACGAAGCAATCACCTGGTGCTCACCAATCGTCGTGCAACCAAAGCCCAAGAACCCTAAAGACATCAGAGTTAGCCTGGACCTCCGTCTCCTGAACAAATCAATGCTCCGCACACGCAACGTCCAAGCCCCAATCACAGAGGACTTTGTAACAGTATTCAGAGACTGTAAGATCTTCAGTAAACTTGACCTTAACCATGGCTACCACCAGTTCTGCCTCGACCCCGAATCACGAAAAACCATGACCTTCTCCACTCCATGGGGCAACTACAGGTACAAACGTCTGGCCTTTGGCGGAGTAAACAGCCAAGATCTGTTCGATGCAGAAATAAGCAAGATCATATCAGGCATCCCAAAGGTTCTCAATAACCGTGACGACATTATGATCGGTGGTAGAGACTGGGATGAGCACAACAAATCTCTTGCGCAACTGCTACAGAGATTGGAGGATCACAACCTGACCCTGCGACGTGAAAAGTGCGAATTTGGAAAAGCGTCCATCGACTTCCACGGACACTTGTTTACACAAGAAGGTCTTAAACCAAGTCCAACCAAGATTCAAGCGGTCCAAAACTGTGCTCCACCAGCATCCAAAGAGGAATTAGTCTCTTTTCTCCAAATGGTAGCCTACCTATCCAGGTACATCAGGAACTTCTCCAGCCGGTGCGAACCACTGAGAAAGCTCACGAAAATCAACGCAAAGTTTGAGTGGTCGACAGAACAAGAAACAGCCTTCAAGGACCTGAAAGCCGCCATCACAGCAGCCCCAGTCCTAATCCCGTACCATTCAGAACACGAAACACTTGTCATCTGTGACGGAAGCCCAGAAGGATTAGGAGGAGGTCTGTTTCAGAAGACTGGTAAAGGATTCCAACCAGTACACTATGTGAGCCGGACCTTAACTGACACAGAGAAGAGGTACTCTCAAATCGAGAGAGAAGCACTGGCAGCCGAATTCACTACAACCAGGCTCCAGATGTACCTGCTTGGCGCACCAAAGTTCCAGTTAGCAACGGACCACAAGCCACTGCTTCCACTCTTCAACAACCCAACAGCTAAACTGCCACCACGCATTGAAAGACTGGCCTTGAAAATGCAGAACCTCGACTTCGAAATGATTCACATCCCGGGTAAAACCAACATGACTGACTACATGTCCAGACACCCACTGCCGGAGACAGGGAATGACCGTCTTGAGAAATATGTCATCGCCACTGTCCAATCAGAGCACGCTGTAGTTCTGGACAGAATCAAAGAAGAAACCGCAAAAGACAAACAGCTTACAAAGCTCGCTGCGGCCATGCAAACAGGCAAATGGACCAAGACTGATCCAGACCTCAAGCCATACTTCGACCTGAGAGCAGAGCTATACATGGCAGAAGGACTGATCCTGAGAATGGACAGAATCATCCCCCCTGAATCACTGAGAGACAAGATTATCCAGATAGCCCACAAGCAAGGACACTTAGGTATCAGCAAGACTAAAGAAATGCTACGCCGAAAGTACTGGTTTCCCGCCATGAACTCTCGCATTGACACCGTTGTGAGCACTTGCTTTGACTGCCAGATAGCAACAAACACGCAGCATACTGAACCAGCCAAGATGACAAAACTGCCAGAGAGACCTTGGGAAACCATTGAAATCGACTTCTGTGGACCATTCCCAAGCAAAGAGTACGCACTGGTCATAACTGACCAATACTCAAGATACCCAGAGGTTGAATTTGTCTACTCGACAGCCATCAAGCCGGTACGGCAGAAGTTAAAGAAAGTCTTCGCCACTCACGGAGTCCCCAAGACAGTCCAATCAGACAATGGACCACCGTTTAACTCAGAAGACTTTAAAGAATTTGCAGCAGAAATGGGGTTCACGCACAAGAAAATCACGCCACGACATCCCAAAGCCCAGGGACAGGTGGAAGGTTTCAACAAGCTCATGAACAAGACAGCCGCTATAGCACGCGCAGAAGGCATTGATCTCCATGAAGCAACCTGTGACATGCTACAAGCATACCGAGAGACACCTCATCCAGCCACAGGAAATGCGCCATATGATCTCCTCATGAATCGAGCAATCCGTACCAGACTTGACCACTACCCAACAGAGAGAGCCAGCAGGGACGAAGTAGTCAGGAAAAGAGACAGCAAATACAAAGAGAAATTGAAGTCTTACCATGACCGAAGACACAGAGCCAAGAAACACAAGTTCAAAGCCGGAGAAGCCGTTCTCCTGAAACGCGACAAGAAACGCAAAGGAGACACCCCATTCGAACCGTACATCTACATTGCCACAAAGGTAATTGGTTCCACAATCCATGCTAGGAGAACCAGTGATGGGAAAACAGTATGCAGAGATGCATCCAAATTCAAGCTGCTCAGAACAGCCTACGTCCCAGCAAGAGACAAGAAAACAAACCCTGTAAGACCAGTAGTACCACCAGCTGTCACCCAGGAAACAACACCAGTGGCAGCACCAATAGCCACCCAAGGAATTGTCACTCGACAAGTGCCAACTGAGGCAACGCCTACCAACCAAACCCTACCCCTGCGCAGATCACAGCGACAGACCAAATCTACATTTGATGGACACCTGAAGGACTATGCCAAATGAACATTGAATTGACTTTGAACATTGATCAGATTTCAACAATGATTATGAACACTGAACACTTGTTTCGTTACTGACAATTGACTGTGATTATTTCTAATTACTATGGTACTACGGTACCAGCATTGAATATATTTCATTGATTAGGTGCATGTCAATTAATTATTATTTATTGATTGAGTCATTGATTAGTTGCATGTTAAGTACAACCAAGAACGAATTGGATACATGAATTTTAAGGAACTGATCTGAAGAAGGAGTGTAGCGATTACATCATTGATACACGTGATTTAATAATCTACCAATGTAACATGATCATCCAAGAATGAGATTACAGTAAAATTACATCTTAGACTGAACGCGTGTACACTGTACTTGTCTTCCTTCGTCTTACCCGATCACTACAACAACATAAGCTGTACACAGCATACAAAGTTGATCCTAAAGTTTTAATAGCGGCGTAGTTGCTACTTGTAATTGCTTTTCAAACTTAACGTGTTCACAAACTGAACAATGTGCAAATCTAATACTGCATACGCTCTTAATTAGTCACAGATTAAACATCAATTTCGTCCTCGTCCTCATCAGTAATGTGGACTGATCATCGACCAGGAGGGGAGAGGGAGGGCGCTTTTTACAAATTTTGGCCGATATGAGAGGCGCTTACTCGAGGGGGGGGCGCTAATTCGAGGATTTACGGTTCATTTAAGGTCAAGGTTGGATTCCAATTTTTGAAAAGTCGGTTTGTAACTGCTAAGTTTGAATAGGTTTTAATTTTTATAGGGCTTTGCCATTTAGTTTCTTAGTTTTCTTTTAGAAAAGACCTTTGAGTCCACACGGTCGCCAAGATCGAGTGGCTGCTGCAAGACAGTGATGGCTGTTACGATCGGCCACAAAATAACCGAGAATTCAACTACAGCTGACATGCGAAGAGACAAAAATAAACATTTATACGTAGTTATACCGCTCTTACACTAAGATATCGCCATTAATTGTAATAGCTGAAGAAATTTCAAAGTTACTTTAAGTAACTACGCCATCAAACTAACCATTCACAAATGCCTGCGATCAAAGTTGATGGACATTTACACGGATATACTATAAAAAAATGTCGGGAACGTTAACGAACTCAACATAGTTAGTGTTCCCGCCATATGAGATTCAACCGGGAACAGAAACCCGTTTTCACTGCGGCATAACATATGACTCTTGCTAAACATGAACGTATTTAACTGCAACGCTAATCCGTTTTTCAAAAACTTCGTGTATTTAAAACTTGTTTGACCACACTATGTTAAAATTCTTAATGCAGGCTCCGTGATGGCCGATATATGCTAACTTCAACTAGCTCGAGTTCCATCGTTTTCCGAAAACATCATTTCGCAGCTGTTTTAGATTGCAGCTTTTCGCCTATGATTAAGTTACTCGGCATGAAGTCAAATTCGATGCTCATGCATAATTGATATATTACTACCTAGGTTTTCTTTAAAAAGCCAAACAATCTCCTTGCACGTGTCCTGAAGAATATGAAAGCTCGATTTAAAGCAAATCCACGATGTGTGTGTACTACTACTCCATATTACTCCATATTAGAGCCAAATCTTGAGAGGTTCACGTCGGAGAAATAATTCCACTGAATTTAGCTAGTATCACCTTCTGGTTTGTCCTCCAAGCTGCAAATGAATTCAAATTCCTCTGCAAACAAAACCAAAGCCAAAATCTGTGAGGAAAAGCGTGACTAAAATTGCAGATCTCATTTTATAGCACGCGCAGAGTAGGATAATATTGGAATATAAGTAATAGGAAGGGACTTGAATTAGCTGCAAAAGATAAGCAGGTTATTAACTAAATCTACTATAAGGGAGAGTTTAACGGTTCGGCGCATGCCCAAGCCTACGCGTGAGAATAAAATAGCATTTTCACTCTATCACTGAATCGCTTGTAGTGCAACAATCACAGACAATAATTTGGGTAGGCAGAATGACTGATACCCAAATTTCGTAGAAGATATGGACGGATTTGGATCGAAAGTAACAAATTTGGTATTAAACATCGAGTTTGTCATTGGGCCATGTCCGGTGGAAGCTTCTATTCTGGACACAAGCACGAGTTATCAATACTGGCATCCGATTGGTTCATAGACAATGGAATGGGGTGCTGCTTAGGAGTCAGTATATATGAAAGGAACAATTTAATGAGAAATGTCGCCTCTATCGCAGTGTCTACGCAACTGACCCCGAAACTTTCAAGGAAAACATTTCCCGCATAAAGATGTTTCCAGCTTTTGATTGTGTTATAAACATATGTAATAAGCAACGATGAAATAGTGTTCTACAATTATCTCTGTTAAAATCATTTGGTCATTGCCGTACTAAAGTTATTCACTAGTCTACCGTTAAATCAATCACTTTTAGCTCCAGTGCACTTATGTGAATGAGGTTATTTTTTAACAACACTAGATCATTGTATCTAGTTTTCAATCAATGAAAATGTGCCTGTTTGAAGTCATGCTTGCCTTTAGACAAACAATAATTAGATTAAAGGTGCAGTGTACCTTCAGTAACTGGCTGAACTGACAGTCGTGCAGATGTAAACAGTGAAAGTGATTTTAGTGGCCCACCTGAAGATTTGTGGTTCTATGAAATAAAATAACATTAATGCGTGGTTAAATTAATTGTCACCCACATCCGATCATTGACAACATGCATTGTGATTGGGTACTTGCTCATGTTCTCATGCATTTAAAGCCATGATGATGTAGACTAGTTTTCCAATCACTGAAGGGTAGCCACAACTATCCTCACTAAACAATTATTAAGCTGGTGAATCACAAAGAAAATACACAAAATATGTAATGATCTCACTAGAAATAAAGAAGAAATACCCTTATTGACAAATTTCCGTGATTAAATTCCTCACAAATTTTCTTTTAAGCCTGGGAGTCAGTAGCAAAGAGTACTGAAAGTGTGAGCTTCTCCCTTCAACACTGTCCTGCCTCCCACTCCCTCGTAACTGAAGAAGGGCTGTGCTCTAGAAGCGCCCAAGTGCCACAGGGAACTAACTTCTGCCTTTGGGTGACTGGAATAACTTACTTTCTTCATTTAAGCTTAAGTGCTGAGCACCCAGGATTTCATGTTTAGGAACCTTAGGGCTCCTAAAAAAATTTTCTTAGACCACAGCCTTGCTAAAGATAAATGACAACTCTCACTTGATGAAGGGTCTTCAATTCCTGCAGGGAAATAAAACGTTTCATCATACGGACAAACTTGACATCCACCTGAGAAACAAATGTGTGATAAAAATTGTAGTAATTAGGTTAGTCATAAAGACACTGCAAACATATCTGCTAGCCATCACTTATATGTGTAAATGAATGCCAGTGTCAGTGAGCACTTGTACATATATATATATATATATATATATAACATACATGCAAACCAGAAAGAGGTACTGTTATAATAAGCCACATTCAATATATCAATATTCTAACATGGCTCTGAGGCTTTCAGGTCAAAATGTACATTTTCTTAAGTTTCTCTTGTCTCTCAATTCCCACAAGAGACTTGGATACAAAGAAAACACCACCAAAATATAGAAGTTTGGCCTGAAAGCCTCAGATTCATGTTAGAATATTGATATAATGAACGCGGCCTACTGCTACATTTGACTCTTAATAATACCTGACAATTGTATAAATGGCACTAAATTTAAATAACAATATGCTATGAATTCTTTTACTTACGCTGTTGTTTCCAAACAAAGGTTCTCTCATCAGTTTTGTGAGTAAATAATTTTATTAGCACCATTTATATAATCCTTTATCTTACCATAAACCACTTAGGATTGTCTTTTTTGGCACCCCTGAAAACAAAAAATAAACCAATCAATCGATATTGAAATACATTGTAAATAAATTTACTATAAACAATAAACTAAGAAAAATGACAATAAAAAGTGAAACAAAGACTGAACACCTAACTAGAGGTATGACACAAGAATGGCCTCCAGATCAGAGACACTGGTACAGTAAAGAAACTTAAAAATACATAATTGAGAGAACATGGATGACATGAATTTCCATTACATGTGAGTTTATTAGATGCTATCACATGTACAGGTACTCTTCAGGTTTGTCATTGAATGATGACATTAATTCCACATCGCATTACATGATGTTGCTTACAGAAAAGTAGCATGAAGCTTAGAAGCTACAGTACTGGGATAAAATTACAAATGAAAAACACATCAATACACGTAGTTTCTTTTTTTTCCTGTATTGAGAACATACACGTTTTTGATTGGCCAATGTTTATGCACAGATTATTTAAACACCTGACAGTATAACCACTGCATAATTGCCATGTATATTTTCATCAATTCATTGTGTGCATTAAAAATAAAAATAAATAGGACGGATGCTGTTATTGTACTCACGGGTCATAATGAGGATCTGCCTTGTCAAACTGTGTATAGTCCACATAGCTCTCTTTTACAATCTAAAGGCAGGTATTATAAAGCAAAAGTATACAATTACATTCAATCAGTGTCTTAACTCATATTCAAAGCAGCCTGAATTTTAAGGGTCAATGTCAGCTTTTTATATATCATGCAAACAGAAATACAAATTATGAATATACAACTATACATTGGAATCCAGCCTTCTGAAAGGGTTGCGAAGGTTACCACAGAAACTTCAGGCAAATCATTTGTCAACTAAATCAAAAAAGAGCAAACTAGGACTTTCCCAGGGCAAGAAAAATTTGAGAGTTACTTGTAAGAAGGGCAAGGTGGAAATTTTCAAATTTGTTCATTTGTTTGTTTGTTTTTGTTTCTTTTTTTCAAGCCCTGTATTAAGAACTGGGGCAGCCTCTGTTACAAGCCTGGTAACTTTTTGACCTTTTTTAGGAAACCTCCACGCCTTATAAAAGTTGCTGTTATTGTACATTTATATTTTAGCATGTTTCAAATAAAAAAAAATGATAATGATGAAGAACATAAATGAATATTTAACATTTGTTAGATGTACCTCTACAATCCCAGCTATACCAGGAGGTTTGCAGTTACTATGATAAAAGAAAGCAAGTTGACCATTCTTCATCTGATCACGCATGAAGTTCCGTGCCTAAAAGTAATTCAGAAATTAAGAGTGATGTTGTAATAAATTAATGATTTACAATGGAAATTTCTTGAGGAAATTATGACTCTGTGAACTTGTTGGACAATTCTAACACTGAAACTTAGTTAGTCCTCAATTCCAATATTTGTAAAACACATTAAGATGAATTGAATTACCTGGTAATTTCTAACACCATCCCAGCAAGTTGTTTGGTCTGGTTCATTCTTTAAGTCCTCAATACCAAACTGCAGTTAATGTACACAGGTAAAGAAAAGTACCAAGTAAAATGCACTAGCCTGTAGACACGTATTTTGATTACCTGAATTTGAAATAAACTGTGGTTCCTTTTTCAATCACTTCTCTGCATAATTTATGTATCATACGCTAATAGGTCAGCATCAACATCCATCAGAGACCTTAATTCCAGAATTTGTTGATCAAATTACATTAAATTTTTTCAAACAAATAAAAACTAAGTTTTTTTGCGCAAAATGTCTCAATGAGCTTGAGAGTGTTCCAAAGATATGCACATCACATATGTACCTTCACATCCACTCCTTTCTCAATTCTGCTTTCTGGTTCTGATTTCATAAGCCATCTTGTGTATTGCACTGCCTAATAAAGCAAATTCATCCCTTCAATGTTTGGACATTTCTCTGACTAAAACAGAGCAGATCCAGGGAAAAGTGAGAGGGATTGCAACACCCCCAACTACAGTAATACCCTCAAAATTGTCTTACTCCTCTTAATAAAATGTTAACAATAATATTACAGAAAGTACACTCTGCAGTTATCTGATTAGCCTGCAAGAGTATCCAGGTTTTTGGCTCTTGTTTCATGTGCAAGAAACAAGAGCTGACAAAACCGGATGCTCTCACAGGCTACTATCTGTTGTGAAGAAAATTTCAAGCGTAGCTTGTCTGAATTTGCGCTTAAAATCTCAAGTTCCAAAAACAGTACGCGAACATGTAATTATTTCTGAAGGAAATGATGAGCAATAGCTATCAACATGTAGTGTTATAGACAAATAAGAACGTAAAATGTGTCAGGTTGCATCTCCAGCCCCTTAATTTTTGAAAATTTTCCAGAGGGGGGCCCCTAGAATTTCACCTCCTTCGGACGCTCGATTTGCAAGTGCTGGCTACTTTAAGTTTTTAGCTGACTAATTTAAAATCTGTGGAGAACACTGTATAACTAGTAGTAATCAAAGATTATGAGTGCGTTGGATGTTGTCACTTGAATACATACACCTTAAATGATTTCACTATCTGAATTTCAACCTCTGTGTATTGCTAAAGTCAACATTTTTTATCAACAGCTAAGGTTTTACAGACAGATACATCATAGTGTCAAAGTCCAAAGTCAAAATGCCATCACCATTCATGCTTATACTTTGCATGCTTGGTCTACTTTGGTGGCATTCAAAACTAAGTTTGATCTAATGACAAATAATGATCTGCATGTGAAGTTGAAGCCTGCGGTAAAAGTGTTTTAAATTAAGTGTTAACTTGTACTGGACAAAATATTTCCCAGGAAAGGCATTTGAACTTTTGGCAACACTTAGAATTCAATTTCAGATCGCCAACACCTATAACAAACATTTCTTGAGAAAATAAAGTTTTTGACCAGCGACCCTACAAGACATTGCATCACTAAATGTTTTGTACTTGTTTACAATGCTCAAATTTACATTTTGTTTTCACAAATGAAAAAGGTGAATTAACCATTCTGACCACAAAACACGGCCTTTTGGCGAGTTACACGACACGGAAAGTTTGTTTTCTGACAACCAACTGTGGCCACAACAAATTTGCTGAGCTTCAAATTGGAAAATTTGTTTTCTGACCACAGATCTGAGGGTCATCATGGCCATTTGTCGAGCTACGCAGAGGATTTGTTTTCTTACCACAACTCATGGCCATTTGCCGTCACCGAGCTACAAAACATTCTTTCCTGATGACACAGGCTTTAGTTACTTATTGTTGAATGCCAGCAGGTCAAAATACATGCATCTTTGCAGAAATCATACACACTTCAAATCTACCTTTATATGCTGAATACATGACTGCATGCATGCTCATGAATGATGTAACTTGACCCTGCTGTGGGGGGCCAAATTGGCGAACAAATCCATCTGAAAAATTCTCAATACAAACTGGATTGTGATTGCGTTACACTAAGTGAACGCAATTATATGGTAAACAAGCAATAAAATGTGTACTGGATTTTCTTTATTTTCAATTCATTATTTTGTCCATACACAAATAGCAAAGACCAGTCCCTAGTGGGGAAATGTATTAATACATTCTATTTTTCTGATCTATTTAGTATTCATAATTTTCAGTGTACACAAGGTAAACAGAAACTGTCTGTGATATTACATGTAATACCAATCAAGGGTATAGCATTATCATGTTGACAGGGATGATCACTTTAATTAAGCTTACTTGTTTTGCATCCTGCTTCTGGGTCTTGCTTCTATTAGCACTTTGATTCTCTGCAAAGGTGCAATAATCAAATCCAATTTACAGTATTTTAGCTACATGTAATTCCAGCAGTGCCAATCTCCCAGAGGTATTGGTGAAGTAATTGCTCGTGTTTTTAATCCTGAGGATTATTGCCTGAATAATCGAGTATTCAAGTCTTGCCCAGGGTATTTGCCAGCCCTGTGTGATGATGATAATTTGCTAGCAAAGACAGAATGTTTTTTCTCTCAACCAGCTCTAAGAAGGCAATCTTAGTAATACTTAAAACCAGCACTTCTCAGTGCCTTAGTTTGTGATTAGTTTACATTTGAATGCGTCTACAGGTCTTTTCCTTTAACACTACATGGTAGGTTTTAACAGCTCAAATGCCCCAGCTGCAGAAGGGGTAGGGGGATGGCATCCTAGAATTGACCGACACATATATATATAAACAGAAAAGAAGGGATTTGCAAGCATTACCACTAGGTCTCAATAATGGCTTTATCAATTCCTAGGCCCCTTATCCCTCCCCACACCCAGGCATTTAACAAGCCTGCTTTATTAAATATCAAAAGGACTAACCCTACCTAAAGAGCACTGACTTAATTTTTTTTGTGAGATTTAACACTAACCCATTGGAAACTCAGTCCAGTGAATTACCACTAGCCTCACAAATTCATGTTGATAAATTAAAAATACATAAATAAATTCCTGTTGGTCATGCATGAAAATCGAGGTGAGAAGCGATGGTGGACAGCACAATTGACTATGAAAATGTGACTAGAACATCTTAAACAAATCTAACAAAGCCAAAAGAGAGGAACTGACAAGGCTAAAGATAAACCTACAGTCCAACCTCTAGAATAGTTTTTGCAATTAGCAAGCATTGTTTTTGTCTTGATGTATAGTTTATATTAGGATTATGATGGAAACGTGTCACAGGCATTGTGTTTCCAATGTGACCATAGGTTAAGATTTGTCATCATGCCTACATATATCAGCTGTCAATGGTTATTGCTTTGTTTCTTTTCACTTGTCCATCGACTTAGTCCCTGAGCTATTCAGAGCATTATCCATATTTAGATAACATTGTTTGTAATGTTGTACTAAAATTAGCATGTATTATAAGTTATGAAAAATATAGCTTCATTTCAATATCTGGTTGAAGACATATATTTATGAGAAAACATATTTTTGACGCTATCCCATGGGTGGGCATTTGTACTTTTCTCACAGCCCCAGCATGGGGATTTTGTACGTGCTAGCAGCCCCATGGTGGGACATTTGCTGCCTTGTGAAAACAAAACGTCAAATGCCCAGAGGGGAGGGAAGGGGGGAGGGAAGTGGGGAGGGGAGGGGATGAGCAGGCCTGGAATTGACAGTCATTAGCACTGTATATGACATAATGTTGTATATGTACATGTTCAATTTAATTACTTTTACATGTACTTTAGACTTCCGTAAACCTGTTACTTTTTTTTTCATTTACAATCAACTACTCGTCAAGACCTTGGAGGAATCTGAGCATGGATTTCAGGTTATGGAGATGACAAGATTATTGCCTTTTCCTGAGCAGTTCAAGCTTGGTTTTGAGTCTTGGTTTGGATCTGTTGCACTCGAAAAGTACTTTAAAACTGTGTATTTCATCGCATTTCATAGGTGCAAACAAGCGGTGACATTGTTTAAAAATCAGATAAATGTATTCGTTCAGTCGAACTGTTTGGGCATTTACCACGCCTGGGATGTTTTTACAATGTACATGTGGTAAGTTTTGAGAGACTGCTACCAGGTGTAAAGCAAAGAATGCCGTTCGTTAGGCTTAATCAACCTTTCAATATTTCAAAACAGTTAAACCATTCAGAAATAGTAAGGCTACTATCATACATGTACGGGCACCTTTGGGCTTGGAGGGAAGGTGACCTTCTTGCCCAAAAAAATTACACAATGCCTGAATGCGTGAGTGTTGAAATCAGGATGCAAATGCACTCAAATTGCATGAAAAACAAAAACATTCACAATTCTCACATCTAATGAAACTACTATAATTCCAAAACTAGTTATATTCAAAGCCTGCATTCAATGACCTCTATCAACAGTCTCAATCTAGTTAAATCTAAAACTTATTAAAAGAAAAAGTTCTAATAAAAGTAACTAACCAGAAACTTTTACAAGTTTTGGAAATCACACCAACAGCATTATTATTATTTTTTTTCATGAGTGGTTGCCCGAATCATGTGCGTTTTGCCTGAAAAATCATATAATTTCTGTGGCTGGGGAGGGGGGGGGGGGGAAGGCTGCAGCCCCCCTTGCTCCCCCAGCTTGTACACCTGTAGCTACTATTATTATTTCCCTTTGAAGTAAGCTTACATCATAAGTGTTCTTCAGTCCAGCAACACGCATCCTGTACCCACCAAGCTCCTCAACACTGACTTAGAAATTAATTATAAAATAACTGATATACTACGCGTGCTCTCATTGGTCATAAATGGTCAATGGGTGTGTTCAGATGAAAGTATGTAAATACGGTTGTCACGCTTTAGATTCGAGCGTATTTGTGAGAAAGATTTTATAAGAGCGATCTAGCACTTTGTCCATGTTTACATAACCTCATCTAAACACTCTTGGTTCTCGAAAGTTATGCAATACCTCGACTGCGTCTCGGGTTTGCATAACTGTCTCGAATTCTCCGAACCCCCGTCGTGTTTAGATGAGGCTATGTAACCACAGAAAAAGTGCTCTATTGCTTAAATATAGAATGGCATTTTTTGCAAATTGAATAGTTATTTTTTAACCGCGCAGCAAATCAGCTTAGCCGCCTCTGCGCTGTTGGCCACGCTTGACAGCTCAAAATATAGTAAAACCAATCTCGTCGAGGGTTTTAACCCTCGGCTAGACTTCTTTGACACGTTAATAACGTTTTCATTCATTCATTGATCTCGATGGCAATTGACATGCCATAGTGTAATCGTACTTAAAACAATTAGGACCAATAGTTTTTCGTTTTACCTTGTTTGGTTTCCTTGGTGGGTTTGCTCGACTCTACTTTGCGCTTCTTTTTCGGAGGCATGTCAGACCTAGCACACTTCGGCGACACTTCGGCGACTTTGAGGCCTATGAGCCCGCGACCAATTTGGGGACTCCTTGCTTCATGTATGGGGATATATAGTTTCCCATTTTGTTCTCACCTCATCAAGCGACCATGCCTATTAAATAAGAAACTTTTTTTTTTCCTCATTCAGTTCACTCCAGTCGGTACAGACAACACCATCTGGCAAATGAATATCTCTTGACTGGAATAACGGACCAAACTATGCACAAAGACAGGCAGCTGAAAGGAAAGAGAGATTGCGTGACGCTCCAATTCGCGCAATCGCATTTCATATTTATTCATTTACTTCGCACGCGAATTTGCATAGTCATGGTTGAAGTCCGTGTGATATGATAGCATTCACCAAGAGATTTGACAGCTTTAATGATCGTGTGAACAGCCTGGTACATGAATGCCTGCGCTACACTTAGAACAGAGAGAAATTCAGGTATGTTGGACGTTCTGTCTGCGCTATGACAAGGTAAACCAAAGCCAGTTTAGCTTGTTCTCAAACTGTCGGCCTTCAAGATCTACAACTGTAGTAATCTTTTGATTGTATGAATTAAGCTTATGTACATCCGACAGAGGTAAAAAATAGTCGATGTTTTTAGTCCAGCGAGTGGTCGTTTGAGTCCTTTCCATGGTCCTTCGTTTTGGTGTAGTGGTCTTACTGCCCTTAGTGCCCTAGCTTGGTTTGTGCCACACTTTTGGTGTTCGTTTTGGGAACACCCATTCGCCGTATTAAAGAAAGAAAAGCGCTCGATTTGTATCGGCTGAATCACTTCGCAAGAAATTCGACTTCTTTGGCTTGTTTGGATCGTTTGCTCTGCGTTGGCAATCGTTGTTGATTTTATATAGAGGCTGAGTTTTCATATTCTGAATGGCTTTTTGCAATGCTTGATCCGAGGCATGCTTGTCGTTACGCACGATTTATACTTCACTCACGTCAGTTCGAATAACGCGCCTCATTCTTCAGTTAGTAGAACACTTATCCAATATCATGGATGGGTAAAAAAAATTGTTTATTGAATGCGCGATATTTGGCATAATCGGGCACCAACCATGACGTGACGTGATTGGGCACCCGCAAACGGTTTGAACGTTAGAGTCGAGTTAGAGGCAAAACTTCCTGCTCGCTCAAACTGTTGCTAAGATATTTGTACATTTATTTCCTATCTGCTTTCGCGTACATTCATCTTCAGTCATATTAACTTGTAGCCTCCGAAGATCTCAATCCAGTCTGCATTAGGACTGCGTTCTCCTTCTCGCAGAACGCATTAACTCGCATAAACAAGGATTTCAAAACTTCTTGCCATCTGCAGTTCTACCTTTGTTAAATCAGTTTTACAACCACTAATGTAGGGTTGACTACGAGCAAAGCACTCAAATCAACGGTTTATTGTTAGTAATAACTGATACAGTAGTAATCACATGATTTTGAGTGCAGTTTGCATTTTGGAATAAATAATCACTAGTAAATTTAACTATGAAAGTCTGGCTATACATATGCATTGTTTACTTATGTAGGCTGCAGTGCCCTCGCTCTTCCAAATATCTTCGAAAATTTCCCAAATATTCGAAAAACTTTCGCAGTGTTGGAAAATCGCCGGTAATCTTCGGGCAATTTTCGGTAATGCCCGCGATAAGGAAATTAGTTGAATTGCGGACAGGCAGAAACTGTGCCGCAGAAAATACACGGCCATGTTGGTCCGTGGGTCATTCGTCCATTCAATTTTTGTCTAAAATCAAAAATTGAAAATTGATTTCAATTTTTGATTATCATGATTTTTTATCGTAAAAAATAAGAAAGTGCCAAATTGAAAATATTTGACTTTTTTCCTTTCGGTAGAACATTGAAACAGAACTTATATTTTGACT